CACACATATATATATATAGATTTTGGTTCCAAACCACCCCAATCATGTGAGATCATGAGATTCCATCTCATCCATTGAAAAAGTTTCAATGGATGGATATGATTGAAAGTCAAAAACAATTAAATAAGGATAGATTTGAAAGACAAGGATGAAAGAGTAATTGTATTTTGATTTTTAATTTTGGTTATATTTAAAATAGAATCTTTACCATAATATTAAGGGCTCTATCAATGATAATAATTAGTTATATTTTGTACATCTGTAATTTTAAATTATGGAGAATTTTACGGTGGTGTGTGTGAGTGTGGAATGGTGTGTGCGTTTTACTAGACTAGGAGCTGTTCACCATGGCATGCTGGTTTTTTTTTTTTTTTTTTCAAAAATTATGCATTTTGATGTGTGTGTTTCTTGTTACCGGCGTGTGCGTAATGTTTCCAAAAGAAAACAGCTATACGAATATAATTTGGGTTCCGGCGTTTGAATTTCAAGTAGGTAATCAATGCATAGTAGCTATAGTATTGTGCTTGTTGGTTTTTTTTTTTTTTTAATGTAGGGAATTTTACGGTGGTGTGTGCGTGGGTGTTGAATGGTGTGTGGGTTTTCTGGTCCAAGAACTGTTCACCATGGCGTGCTGGTTATTTCCCCAATATTATGCGTTTTGGTGTGCGCATTACTTGTTACGGGCGTGTGCGTAACGTATCCAAAAGAAAACAACTATACGAATATAATTTGAGTTTCGCCGTTTGAATTTCAAGTAGAAAATCAATGCATAGTAACTTTAGTATTGTGCTTGTCTTTTTTTTTTTAATTGTGGGGAATTTTACGGTGGTGTGTGTGTGGGTGTGAAATGTCGTGTGCGTATTTCTGGACCAGGAGTTGTTCACCATGGTGTGCTTATTTTCTTCCCAAAATTATTCGTTTTGGTGTGTGCGTGACTAGTTTCGGACGTGAGCGTAACGTATCCAAAAAATAACACCTATACGAATATAAGTTGGGTTCTGGCGTTTGAATTTCAAGTAGTTAATCAGTGCATAGTAGCTATAGTATTGTGCATGTTGGTTTAAAAAAATTTGAGGGGAATTTTTACGATGGTGTATGTGTGGTGTAGGATAGCGTGTGTGGTTTTCTGGACTAGAAGCTATTCACCATGAGGTGTTGGCTATTTCTCCAAAATTATGTATTTTGGTATGTGTGTTTAATAGATACGAGGGTGTGCATAACGTACCCAAAAGAAAACGACTATACGAATATAATTTGGGTTTCAACGTTCGAATTTCAAGTATATAATCAGTGCATAGTAGCTATAGTATTGTGCGTGTCAGGTTGTTTTATTTTTAAAAAAAAAAATTATGGGGATTTATTTTACAGTGGTGTGTGCGTGGGTGTGGAATGGCGTGTGAGTTTTTCTGTAACAAGAGCTGTACACCATTGCGTGCGGGTTTTTTCATAAAATTATGCATTTTGGTATGTGCGTTACGTGATTCGGGCGTGTGTGTTTTGGTTTGTGTGTTAATGGTTTCGGGCGTGTGAGAAATGTATCTAAAAGAAAAAAAAAATATACGAATCTAATTTGAGTATCGGCGTTTGAATTTCTATTAGATAATCAGTGCGTAGTAAATATAGTATTATGCTTGTTGTGTATTTTTTTAATTGTAGGAAATTTTACGGTGGTGTGTGCGCAGATGTGGAATGACGTGTGTGGTTTTCTGTAACCAGAGGTGTACACCATTGCAAAATATAAAACTCACACACCATTCCATACCCACGCACACCACCATAAAATTTCCCATAATTTAAAATTACAGATGTACAAAATATAATTAATTATAATTACCATTGATAGGGTCCCTAATATTCTGGTAAAGATTCTATTTTAAATATAACTGAAATTAAAATCAAAATACAATTACTCTTTCATCATTGTCTTCCAAATTTATTCTTATTTAATTGTTGTTTGACTTTTAATCATATCCATCCATTGAAACTTTATCAATGGATAAGATGAGATCTCTTGATATGACCTAATTAGGTGATTTCATTGGATCCATAGCCTTTATATATATGTGTGTGTGCGCGTGTGCGCGCCTAATCCAGCCTGTACTCTAAAAATACGATTGATAAATAATAAAAGACTTTGCAAATATTATTGTATGTTGTCATCGGCTTATTAACATTACAAATCATTATGCCAATACCTTTTATGATATGATGAATTTAGAAAATTGGTATGTAATGGATTTTCGAAAATTCTGTTACAATGCAGTATTGCACAAAGAGAACACACCCACCTTCACCAAGACTCGAACCCATAATCTTTCATATGGGAGAGTAACTTGTGCCACTATACTACCTTAAATAAAAAGAAGAAAAGGAAAGAGTGTAGGAGATGGGAAAAACAACTAAAAGGGTAATGAAGTGAGGCTGCAGAATGTGTAATTTGGTCCCCCCAACCTAACCTGAAAAGCTCCAGAGTTTCATTGAGTGGACCCCTCCCAATTGACAGCTCAGTCAAAGCCCTCTCAATCTCTCTCGCAGTCGTAGCGTTAGCTGATGCAGCAACTCCGGTAAGAGCATCAAGACAGGTCTCGTGGTTCCTCACCACGCTGCGTAACAAATCCGTCATGCCTCGGGCTTCTGACGGATTCTCCAGCTTGTCTCTGCACTTAATCACTTGAAAGGTTCGAAACAAGATCCTCTTGTTCTCCCGGATGAGAGCTTCGCAGGATTCCAGGGCGTAAAGCATTCGGTTCTCCGGTGACACACAACTCGGCGGCTCCCAATGTCTATAGAAAGCGTCGTCGACAAAGGGGTAGAACAGGTGATGTGTGATGGAAAACGAATAGTGAAATGATTTCCTGGCGACGTCGTGGAAGGTGAAGCCGTCCATCGGCTCTAACTCCTTTATGCCGCAGAACGCCGGCCTTGGAGTGGCGTTGCATATGGATTCCGGCGAGGTCAAGGCTGAGGGGGAGAATGCATTATTGGCCGGAATCAATAGAAAGAAAAAAGCTATAGAAATTGGATTCAGTTTTTGTTTTTTTTGTCGCACCACACTTTTGTGTAGGGTAATGCATTCTTTATTTATACACGTGTGCTTGGTCAGGGTTTAGTTTGACAATTTTTGCTGTGAACCATTAGGCTGTCCTTATCCCTGCAAACATCTCCCACTCTCAAAAACGGGTCCCACTTCCACATTATCTTATTTGCAAATCATCTCCTATTCACACTACATCCCTACAAATCTCTCTTACTCTAAAAAATGGGTCCCACTTTTATTTTATATTATATATAAATAAATAAATAAATAAAAAAGAATAAAAAAGTAAAGAAAAGTACATATTTGCAGGCAGCATGACTGCCTTGCAATACTAAAGTACAAAGAAGGCTGCCATTCGGCAGCCTTCTTTGTACTTTGCAAACTTGCAAAAGATGCAAGTTTGCATTACACATCATATAACAAAAAAAAAAATAAAAAAAAAAAATAATTCCATGTGGCATGCCAAATAAGATTGTAAATGGGTACACTTGTAGGGGTAAGGTCAGCCTTATTGTCTATATAATTGTGTCCACCATTAATATAAGATACATTTTTAATATATTAAAAATACCTTATTTATTTATTGTATATTATTTTATAATATACAAAAATAATGTGTTTTTAATATTCAAATAATGTACTTTATGTGCACGACTACACAACTATATGAAATTATGAATAATGATGATTTATGAAATAATGATTGAGTTTAGTTCAAAAAGTATATAATAATATTAATATAGGGGTGTTCGTTGACTTATGAGTAGAAATTAATATATTACCATTATAAATTACAATGTGCTACTATAATTTTATATAGTTGTTGACTTTTGGACAAAGGTTTAGAGGTAGCATTCATTGCCAGCCTTGATAAGCTACTAAAGATTAATTAAAGCAATAATATATTTTATCCAGCTAATGGCTTTATTTTATATACTACTATTTGCCTCGTGCGATGTACAGACAAAAATTTATTAGTATTGTTGTAATGTTAATATGTTATGATACAAAGAAGAATTAGTTTTATTAAAAATGTAAGTATAGTTATACAACTAGTATGTGCACTCGTGCGATGCACGACCATAGATAATAATAATAATATAATTAAACAATATAACGTAATAATAATAATTAAAAAATGAAGAAAAAATGGTATTTAGCAAATTGTATTACACATTAATGAAAACTTCTCACTCAATGGCATTTTTAGTCGTATTTTAAGTTTTTTTTTTTCTATCTTTAACCCATTACACAAAATTCTGTACCAAGTTTTATTTCTTCACTAAAATAATTTGTTTTTCTTTACATAAATTAAGACTTTGTAATATAACTTTAAATAATTTAATATAAAATTTTATTTCTTCACTAAAATAATTTATTTTATCATAAATTAAGACTTTGTATTATAAGTTCAAATATTTTAATATAAAATATAACTGTAATGTAAATATATAGTATTCTATTCCACAATAATAAATCATTGAACATCCATTACACCCATTACATTTAATTAAAATAGAGATGCAGTGTCTTTTGAAGATTATTACCTCTTCATTAAATAGCTAAATAATTAAACGTAACTTGCCTAACAATTACACAATTGTATTTTTTGTTCTATTTCTAATTTACTTGTGCATTTAATAATTCTATAACTCTAATTCATAAACAAAAACCCTTTATTTGTTTACAAAATAATTGAACTTTATTATCAATCTCAAATATTTTTCAAATATGAAAAACACATTTAAGAATATTATATATAAATGCAAATGAAATATGAAATATTTAATTTCATGATTCAGAAATCACTGTTAAAAAAATATCAGATTCACCTGAAATATAATGCTAAGCCAATAACAATACAAAGAACATACTCTCTCTCTGCACAACTTCCAAGTCCATTAACCCAACTGTAAAACATGACCCACATATTTAGACGATTAAGCTGAAATATCAGATTCACCTCAAATATTTAGACGATTAAGCTTCTTTCTTCTCTGCTGCGCTTGTCCTTCTCGATGTTTCTTCAATCATCTCTGTTACCGGCATGTTCTCAACATGTTCTGCTTACAATAAAAGTGACACCGTCAATTTTTATCATTCACACATCCAATCAATCCACGGCTAATGAGCTGTTCAGATATACTCACCGCAACTTTTGGCAGTTGTGGGTTCATTTCTTTCCCAGATGCCGATCTGAAAAAACTTTCAACAGAGAGCACCTCTGTGGCTTCTATGAACATATTGTGTAAACTGCACTGCCCGGCTACACCGTCTTCAACATCTGTAAGTATATTTATTTCTATTTTGTATATATGTATTTGTAAGCATATTTAGGGTTTTTCACTTGATTATGTTCTACGAATCTAATTATTTTCCACCAATATACAAATCAATGTAAAGTTAGTGTTAGATCCAAATCTTGTTAGGGTGCATAGATATATAGATTAATTTGAATTACAATGCTTTGATTTTTTTTCATCATGCTTCTACAGATGGTGTGAAATTCAAATTACAATGCTTTGATTTTTTTTCTTCATTGCATTTCGTGTTCATATATTATGAAATACTCTGTACATGCTTTCCTAATACAGTAATAGCATATACATTTGGTTTTCTTCAAAGCTAATTTCATATAAAATTTGAGATAAAAAGGTACATTTGAAATATACACAGGAAATTCAATACATTTCTTACTTTTTTCAAACTTATAAATCCATTCATGCCACTGTAATGCTCTATAAGTGTAAAAAAATCTTAATTAGTATATGAATAAAATAAATTGAAGAATTGATAAGCAACATCAATATGGTAGGATTATAGTATTACCATGTCTGATTCATCACCTTCACATTACTCTATCATTTTCGAAATAGGACCTTTCTTGATCAACATCAACATGTTCACTCAACCACAATTTCAAATTAAACAACTCATTATCAAGTTCCAATTTATTAAGTTTTACACTAACACATTACTTGTTCTTCTTTGAGATTTAATTTAGGTTATGAAAACTCACAGCTGCACTATCAATACCACCAACAAAATTGTTAGTGGCAATAGGATGCTCATCTTCTTCAATATCCAAAAATTCCAAAAGCGAAAACAATACAATATAAAAAGGAATAACTGTTGAATGTCTTAGTAAAAACAAAATCCTGGTAAACATTTTATAAAAATACCTCACCATGCATTTGCTAACAGATCTGTGGATATTATGTGAACACACCTGAGCATATTTCTCCGATCCTTTAGTATGGTCCCCAAGAGTTGTTGGCCCTCCATATCCCATAAAATGAATAACGGTGCATAACCATCCTTATCAACAACTCATTCCTTCAATCTCAATCCCAAAATGGTGGAATGATGAGTATTATAAATCAACAGGGACACCATTGAAAGACAGAAATTCAGTACTAAACGGGCTGACACCTAAAATCAGTGCTAAGCAAATGAAAAAACATACAAAAATGGTACATTTTACTTAGAATACTCATCAATAATTGTAGAAACAACCATCAAACCACTTGTGTACTCGTCAAAGGTGTTCCCACAGGACAAACTTGACAAACTTACAATACTCTGCAGAGGAGTGTGTTGAACACAAAGCCTGTATAACAATTTCACCCAACATATACATAGAGTGTGGGGGATATTTATTCAGATTAACTTATATTGGTAAAGAAGCTATTTGTATTCCTAACCATGCTTTCAGCCTTCTGAAAAAACACAAATATATATATATATACCGTGTGCTTTTAGTGTTTTGGAAAACCTCTCAAAAGTGAAAACATACCTATGAGTCATGGAATACGACTTCTTTATATTTGATTGAGTCACTATCTGGTATGTGGTATGTACGCACAACACGGGACTTCAATTGCAATCCTGGTATTCAAAGTTCAGATTTCACGTCCAAGATGGAGAGGGGATACATTCAGACTGAGTTCTTGTGTAATTGTAGTCAAAGCAATGATGTATTCTGATAGTTCACCGGAATTTTGATGTTGAATTATAGTTTTGGAGTTTGTATTTGAAACAAAGTGGTGTATTTATAAGTAGGTTAAACACTGTATATCAATCGTTTATATTTATCTTGAAAATCCCAATCGTTGTAGACATTGAAATTGTTTATGGGAAATACCAAGCGGCTGAATAGTATTCCTTTTTTTTGAAAGTCAACCATTGGGTTGTATTTATAGATGAATCGTAATAGAGTCAGGAGGGACATTGTCCCAGTACATAGGTAGCGTATATCTAAAAGCAGTTGCTGCTAATGTATGAGCTAAAATATTATGCGATCTAGAAATAAAATTAGCCGAACAATAATCAAACATATTTAAATAGGTCCTGCAGTCATCCATGACGTAACCAAGATAGGATAATAGTAGCTGACGTCAAATAAGTGAGTAGTGTCTGACAATCCGTGTAGAGGTTAACCGATTGTTCCCCTCGGTCCTTGAGCCACGATAACACTTCCTTGCATGCCAGAGCCTCGGCCATAAGTGGTGAAAAGCAATTTTGCGGAGGTGCACAAAAAGCTGATATATAGTTGCCAGTGTTGGTGAATAATACTGCTCCAACAGTGGCCGTCATGGACGACGGTTGGTAGCCGGCATCGATGTAACATTGCCTCGGTTGGGGTGGTTGATCCACGGTAGGTGATTGCACCATGCTGAGCTGGGGCTGCTGCTGCGCTACTTCGGCCGAACTGGGCAGTAGCAAAGGTTGGGGCGGTACGGTGGGAAGGGGGCATTTAATTCGGCAGCCACATGCGTTATTTGGGCAGCAGTTTGCAGTTGTTGCCACGCCTTCACGGCTGCTAAGGCCGTGGCTACAACCTTCTTCGGCATTGATAAGTAAGCATTCCACACAGCATCGTTCCAGGCCCTCCAAATATTGTATAGTATTGCGGCTGCAAACAAGATTGCATCAGAATCTAAAACATTTAATAATGCTCCAAACCAATCATAAAAAACGTTTGTCACAATTTGGGGGATTGGAAGGTTAGATTGGCTCCATATGGCTTTTGCATAGTCACACAACACTAATGAATGCATTATATCCTCATGTATTAATCCACACATTGCGCATGTCGGATCAATTTCCACCCTCTTTATAAGCAAATTAGTAGTGGTGGGTAATATATTGCTCATTGCTCTCCATAGAAACATTTTCCATTTGGGTGGTATTTTGAGGTGCCATAGAGTATTCCATTTATCAAAACCCATGCTAGTATTATAGGTGCCCACTATATGTCTGTATCCACTCTTAACCGAATAGCATCCATTTGGATCTCCATACCAGTACCAAGTATCCACATATTCCGGGGGGATAGGGATCTTTAAGATTCTAGGCACATCATTTGGTTGAAAAATATCAGCTAAAATGTGAGGATCCCACGTTCCAGTTGTTTGATCAATCAATCCTGCAACCTTAGCATCTGCTAACTGTAATGGCATCTCAGTCTGGACCATAGGATCCAACTCATCCTGGAGCCATGGATCCTTCCATATTAAGGTCGATTCACCATTCCCAATCCGTCATCGCACCCCACCGGTAATTAATTCTTTCGCAGCCATAATACTCCTCCAACAGTAGCTAGGATTATTCCCCATACTTGCCTCTGAAAAAGTTAGTTTAGGGTAATACCTAGCTTTATACACACGGGATACCAATGAGTCAGTGTTTGTTAGGAAATGCCAAGCCTGCTTTCCCAACATAACCAAATTAAATGCCTTCAGATCCTTGAAACCTAGGCCACCATATTTCTTGGGTATACACAATCTATCCCATGCCTTCCAACGAATACCCCGGTCAGTTCCTGATCCCCACCAATATCGGTTCATTGTTCGCTCAATAGCTGCACAGACAGATACTGGCAATAGAAAAACACTCATTGAAAAGGTAGGCATTGCCTGAGCTACACTTTTCAATAATATTTCTTTACCTGCCTGCGTTAAAAGTTTCTTGTTCCACGAGCCAATTCTTTGCCTGATCTTATCCTCAATATATGCAAAAGCTGCCTTTTTATTCCGTCCAATAAAGGCCGGTAGACCTAGATATTTCCCAAAATTTGGAGCTTGAATAACTCCCAGGATCTGCGCCACCACCATCTCCCTGTCTCCACTGCCAGTATTCTTACTATAGCAAATACTAGACTTATGGTAGTTTACCATCTGTCCTGAGAGAGCTTCATACCTGGCCAAGCAACTTTTAATTTCAACTGCCTCATACTGATTAGCTTAAAAAAAAACAAGAGACTATCATCAGCGAAGAATAAATGAGAAATCGGGGGTGCTCCTCGTGCCATTCTGCAGCCATGAATTAATCCATTATTCTGTGCCTGTTGGAGTAATAGGGAAAGTCCTTCTGCACATATAATAAACAGATAGGGTGATAACGGATCCCCCTGCCTGAGACCACGTGTAGGCGTGACCAGGTTACTAGGAGAGCCATTTATCAAGAATCTATAAGACACTGTAGTTACGCATATCATAATCAGTTCCACCCATCTCTCATCAAAACCCAATGCTTTTAACATCCCTTTTAGGAACGACCATTCCATTCGGTCATAAGCCTTTGCCATATCTAACTTTAAAGCTCCCCACCCAACCGTTCCACACTGTTTCCTGTTCAGAAAGTGCCCCACCTCCGCTGCTATCAAAATATTGTCAGTAATGAGTCTATCCGGTATAAATGCACTCTGTGTGCCAGATATAATACTATCCATTAAGGGCTTCATCCTTTGTGTAATCATTTTCGCCATAACCCTATAGACAACATTACTCAGGGCTATGGGTCGTAAGTCTGTTACCAGTTCAGGCATATCCTTTTTTGGTATTAACACAACATTCGTTTCATTTAACGCAGATGGAAAAACTCGAGTATTAAGGCATTGAACAATATAATTCGCCAGATCCCCAGCTACCACATCCCAAAAATGCTGATAAAAGTCAAGATTCATCCCATCCGGGCCTGGTGCCTTATCAGGAAACATAGCAAAGAGAGCACTTCTCACCTCCTCCACCCTAAAGGGTTGTAGCAACTCATCATTATGCTCTTATGTAACTTTCGGTACCACACTCTCAAATAAATCATGCCCATCCTCAGGATTACTAGAGCAAAAGATATTAGCAAAATAGTCCAAGATTACATCATTCATTGCCTCCCTTTCCACTCAATCCCCAGTATTATTCATAATTCTAGTTAGACAGTTTTTCTTTCTACGGTGAGAGGCATACCTGTGATAGAATTTTGTATTGGCATCCGCATTCTTCAACCAGTGTTGTTTTGCTCGTTGTTTCCAATATGCATCCTCTTGGGCCTCAACACGGCTCAACTCCTCCTCCAATCGCTGGAATTCAGTCAACGATTCTGAGTCCGTTCGTCCTCTCAACCGTAACTGATCACTCCGAAGTTGTTTAATACGTTCCCCGAACTTATGATAGTGATCACCCCCCCAACGAGATAAACGTTTTCCATAGTACGCAATGCACTCATGCAACCCATCCTGCCTTTTCTCATTCCATGACTCTTCCACTACAGCCCTACAGCCTTCATCATAGACCCATGCCATCTCAAACCGGAACTGTTTTTGCCGTGGTCTCCCCCTCCCTACCGGGTCATGAATCCCCAGAAAGAGAAAAGAATGATCCGATTTTCTAGTTAAAATATTAGTCACTCTTGCCCCAGGGACACTATCACGCCAGGTATTCGTGGCCAACACTTTGTCCAATCTCTCTTCCATCCACCGATCTGTGCCCTTCCCTTTCTCCCATGTAAATTGATACCCTTCCATTGGTAGTTGAGTCATACCGCAATACTCAATAACTTCCCCAAATCCCCGCAAAAGATAATTAGGATGTGGGTTACCTCCTCTCTTCTCGTGCTGGAATAAGAGATCATTAAAGTCTCCTATCATAATCCATGGCAGATTGGACTGTGGCTTTAACAATTTAATAAGATCCCATGCGTCTCTTCTTCTACTCCGGTGTGGGTAACCATAAAAACAAGTCATTCGCCAGTTCGGGAAACCAGATATGCTAATCTCCAGATCAATATAATTTTTCGAATAACTTATCAGTCTTGCCGTATTGTTTTTTCTCCATAGCAAAGCCAAACCACCACCCATTCGTACAGGATTAACATAAAATAACCCTTCAAACCCAAGCTTCACTCGTAACCTTTCTGCATTATCTTTGCCTACCTTAGTTTCCATCAGATAGACAAAATCGGGCTTCTTTCGGGACACCATGCCCTCTATTTCACGAACTGTACGTGGATTGCCCAAGCCACGACAGTTCCAGCTTAGCGTACTCATTGGGCTGGGCGGGTCTGTGAAACAAGACCCGCCCGCCGTATGCAAGTTTTTTGAAACCGTGTTGTCTGCCACTTCACCACTCATCACCGTCTCCGCCCCCTCAACTGTAGTTGTCTCCGCACGGCGGCGCTTCGATGAGGCTATAACATCCTCATCCGAAACATGTTGCTGCTGTACCATCACTACATCATCTACTGCAACCGATTCGCCACCTTTGTTCTCTGCCACCGTGGGAATTACTCCACCTACCGGTGGTAACAACCATGATGCACCCACCGGCCTCGGACCCCTAACTTTCCCTGCTCTCATCCACGGCCCATACGGATACGACTCAGGCATAATACCGGACACCCGAGCCTTCACACAAAACTTATCAAGGTGGCCTAATAGTCCACAACAAAAGCAGAAATTATGAAGACGTTCGTACTTTAGATTTACCCATCCCCAAGACTTATCCCTACGTATCAGTTTCATTCTCCGCTTGAGTGGCTTATCCACCGGTACCGACACACGGACACGGTAGAACGTCTTCCAGGGCCCTCCCACATTACGATCATCACACCGAATGAACGTTCCCACAAAATTTCCAACCTGTTCCAATACAACCTTCGATGTATACCCCATTGGCAAATCATAGACCTGTATCCACATGTCCACGGTATCCAGCTTGACTTCTCCCGGCAAAAAACCATCACAAACCTGACGACATACGAGAGTATGATTCTCGAACGACCACGGCCCCTCCTCCAATACCCGCTTCATATCAGTGACATGATAGAAGGCAAACAAGAACAAATTAGACTGTAGCTCCGTGACTCGCATCCCCATAACAGGCATCCATGCCGAGGCCATTACATGACGCATATATTCAACCTTTATCAGCTTGGCCGTGAGGAACCGCCCAACAACAGAATAAACTTGGCCACCCTCAATCTCAACCGGTTGGTAGAGACCACCGGCCTCAACGCCATCCTCTTCATCCTGTAAGATCATGTCACTCCACCGCTCGGCTATCCTTGCCACCCCCTCATCATGCTGCTGTTGCGACGCTGCTTCCATGGTAACGTAATAGAAAACTCCGTCGAAGCCGAAGGACAAAGCCGCGAGAAAACCTGATCGGTGCGAAACGATCGGGAACTCACCGTCGAAGCCCTAGAACAAAACTCCGGTGAAAGCTGTACGGTAAGCTTTGTCGGATTTGCACTGCCAACACCTTCGAAACAAAGCTCCGATGCAGATTGTACGGTAAGAATTGCCAGAAACCCTAGTTTGGGAGAGAAGGAGAGAAAACCCTAGTTTGGGAGAGAATCACAATAAATATATACTAATATTGTTTGAGGAGATTTTGACATTAGGCTGAATAGTATTCCTTATTTAATCAGATTTGAGTTGATTTTGAATATTACTTTGGAAAGATGAACCATTAACATATTAAATGACTACTGACCGTTAATATCTTCTCCTTCTTTGCAAAATTAAACGGCAACGTTTTATTTAGGCGAGATTTTTTGGCTCTATTGTGCATCTCAAGGTGTGTGGCTTTTTTATATAGTAAGATAAGATGTAATACTTAAATGTTAAAGACAATAAATGCATTCATATTGCAAATCTCATTTGTAATAATGATCTTACAAAGTTAAACAGACAGAGAAAGACACAGACCACCTCGTGATTTACACACAAAAAAAAATAATAATAATCTTACAAATCTATTGATATGCATTCACACTTAGACGTGAAAATATTTTCCCTACTTGATTTTACTTTAATTACCTAACTTTCTTTGTAAATTATTAAAAAACTAATCAGAATTACAAACTATTAAAAAGTTAGTATATATATATATACTAGTTTTTTACGCGCATTGCGCGATTGGGATAATGCCCAATGTTTTTTTTAATAAGTACTTTAAAGTATATCAAGGCAGGATTATATTAGAATTGTTCATGCATAAATAATTGAATGTTGAATTTGCGTATTTAAATAGGTAATTATAAGTTTACAAATGCAAGATAATATAGTCAGGATTGTTTATAATTGTCAATAAAATAATTGTGTAGGTATGGTTGAAACCAAATACGGGACATAAAGGAGAGCAAATAAAAATTAGGGCATAAAATTTTAAATATATACTAATATTGAAGAGCTAATTGTTGATTGTCAAACAAGGACATTGCGAGGTAGTTTTTCACTTCAATTTGTTGTGTAATTTGAATACTCTTTTTGTAAATAAATCCCCCAAGTAGTTAATATGTTTGGCTTAATTATATATTTTTTTATTGTTTTTATTTTTTAAAACAATTATTATTATTATTATTATTATTATTATTATTATTATTATTATTATTATTATTATTATTATTATTAAATATATGTATACCCTTAGGTCATTTTACATGTTAATCTAAAAAGTTAAATTTTTTAAATATCTTTTTACCAATCGTTAATATAATTTGCTGGTCAAATCAGCTAATAATCCGCTATTGCTAACCGCTAACTACTGATTGTCAAACAAGGACATTACGAGATAGTTCTCACTTCAATTTGTTGTGTGATTTGAATACTCTCTTTGTCAACAAATTCCTCACGTAGTTAATTAATATGATTGACTTTATTAATTATATTTTTCTTAATTTTTTCATGGTATTAATAAAATACTTGGTAAATAAATATATAACATTATTTTGTATTATAACTTTGATATTTAATTAAAAAAAAATAGTGCACAAAAAAAGATAATAAACAATGAGTTAATACCCAAAATCGTCCTCGACTATAGTGGTTTTTTCTCAATTTCGTCCTAAACGACTTTGGTGACCTAATATCGTCCTAGATTTTTGTGTTTCGCGCAATTTAGTCCTCCAGGTTACTTGCCTACATTGATGGGCAAACAATTATGTTTGTAAGAGGAGAAACTTATATAGAGGAGCTGAAGAGCTCATTTTTCCGAGCATTTTCAATGTGAGATCAAAATAATCTCATATCATTTACAAAGGGAGCCCGTGGCTCCCTTTTGTCTTCTTCTTATTTTTTTTAAAAATTTTAATTTTATTTTGTATATCGTTTTGTTTTGATTATTATTATTATTATTATTATTATTATTATTATTATTATTATTATTATTATTATTATTATTATTATTATTATTATTATTATTATTATTATTATTGACAACTTCGCAATTTTAACAATTTATCTTTAATCAAACTAAGTAATTTGCTCCAAACTGCTAAAAACCAAAACAATACGTACATTTTGGGTTAATCTTTCTTAACCCCCACTAATAAATAATAAATAATAAATAAATCAAACTAAAATAAAAAGACAAAGCTAAGTTTCATAAATAAGAACATTTTGACTTATCAATACTCGACACATCGATGGGCAAACAATTATGTTTGTACCTCTTATATAGAGGAGTTCAAAAGCTCATCTTTTCAAACATTTTCAATGTGGGATGAAAATGAACCCACATCATTTATAAAGGGAGCCTGTGGCTCCCCTTTTTTTTTTTTTTTTTTTGTTAATTTTAATTTTATTATGTATATAGTTTTGTTTGGATTATTATTATTATTATTATTATTATTATTATTATTGTTGTTGTTGTTGTTGTTGTTCTTGTAATTTGATTATTTGGCAAATTCACCAAAATTTTAAGAAATTCCCCTGTTTAAATTGCCCCTTTTGAAACGTTGGGCTTCAATAGGTTGAGAAAGTTTATATGAACAGATACTACATGTAACACGGTGAATTGAATAGTTATGCTGTGGAACCGTGTCCACTTTGCAAGGTGGACATAGTTCTATGTTCATAATTACTGAACTATATGTTCATAATTATAAGGCTAAATATTCATAATCTTTGAACTTCATATTCATAATTATTGAACTCTATATTCACAACTACAAAACTCTATGTTCATAATTACTGAACTATATGTTCATAATTATAAAGTTATATATTCATAATTTTTAAACTTCATATTCACAATTATTGAATCTCTATATTCATAATTAGATAACTATATGTTTACAACACTATGTTCATAATTTTAAAACTATATATTCATAATTTTTGAACTATATATTCATAATTATGAGCAATTTTAGAATCGTGTCTAACTTGCTATGTGGACACGATTCCACAGCATAATTTGACGTGTCAATAGTACTCAAAAAATAAAATATTTGCCTTTAATTTGAGCTTCTCAATACTTGTCCACATTGATGGACAAACAATTATTATATTTGTAAGAGGAGTATTGCTCCTCTTATATAGAGGAGCTCAAGAGCTCATTTTTCAAACATTTTCAATGTGGGATCAAAATGATCCAACATCATTTACAAATGGGAGCCCGTGACTCCTTTTTGTTTCTTCTTATTTGTTTTTATTTTTTTTTGGTATATTGTTTTGTTTGGATTATTACTATTACTATTACTATTACTATTACTATTACTATTACTATACTTAGCTTATTTCAATCATTCCTATCTCATGTCTTAGATTAGTAAATCTTGGTTCATATAAGGGTTTTGTAAGAATATCTGCAATTTAATTTTAGTGGTTATATGATCAATCCTTAAGATCTCTTATGTAGGGGTGAACGCGGTTCCGGTTTCGGTTCGGAATTACCGATTCCGATTCCACAAATGGCCAAATCGGAACCGGAACCGGAACCAAAACCTTATAGTAAGGTTCCGGTTCCGGTTAATGAACCGACGGTTCCAACCGAAACCGCCGGTTCTAACTAGATTTATTTTTTTTTGTTTAAAAAAAACATGAGACCAAAGGCCAAAGAGACAAAGACCAAAGTTTGGTCTTTGCGCCAGACGTGAGACACGTCCCACTGCCCAATGCGGCGATGAGGCAGTATGCTACAGGCATGCGGCCTGCAGTTATCAATTATATATATATATATATATATATATATATATATATATATATATATATATATATATATATATATATATATATATATATATATATATATGGGTTTGGAACCGGAATCGTCCGGTTCCGAACCGGAATCGTCCGGTTCCGAACCGGAATCGTCCGGTTCCGAACCGGAACCGGCGGTTCCGGTTCCTTATTTCACAAACCTTAATCGGAACTTTATTAGTTCTGAAACCGGAACCGTATGGACGATTCGGTTTCGAAACTGAAACCGTACGGACGGTTCGGTTCCGAAACTGGAACCGTACAGACAGTTTGATTCTGGTTCGAACCGAACCGTGGTTCATCCTTACTCTTATGAAGTGATGTCGAATATCTATGTGTTTGGTTTTTTATGAAACACTAGATTTTGAGTAATAGCAATAACACTAATATTATCACAAAAAATACTAACTTGCTTGCAATCCCCAATCCTATAATCTTTTTCTTTTTTTTTTTTGGAATGCAATCCTATAATCCTTTAATTGTTGCTTTATCCAAAGAATTTGTACTGTGCACAATAGCACGCTTCTTGCTACTATGTATATATTCTGTTTTTGCAGCACGAGTAGCAATAGACTTTTGCTTTTTGTTGAACTAAGAAACAAGCTTCAATCTTCATTAGCTTTGTTTCTAAAGACCCATTTTATACCTATGATATTATGATTTCCTAATCTTGGAATAAGTTCCCAAACTTCATTTCGTTTTATTGCTTAGGATTGAACAATTGTTATTGGCATGTACCTTTTATGGTCAATGATATCCTAAGGGATCCATAGATCCAAGTACCATTTCCTCACTACTTGGTTCCCTCATATTTGTTTGTTTTTATTTATTGCTTAATTATTTACTTTCACTTTTTCTTAGTTCTTTTTCACAATTTCTTTAGATTACATAATTAAACAACGGATAATACTAGTATTTGTAGTCCTTGTGGATACGATACTCATTACTCCACCCCATGGTTGCAGTAGGCGCTGGGCGCTAGTCGGGCGCCCGGGCAGCGCCTAGGCGGAATCTAGGCGGCGCTAGGCGGTCGCCAAAAAAACAGTAGCAGACTTGCAATTTGACAATTTTAATGAGGCTGTTTTCAACATTCAATCAAATAACACATCCAAATAAATGACATAATGACAATTCAGTCATAACATCAAAAGAATATTATAAAAAAAAAAAAACTCAAATGAAATACCCAAATACTTCAATCATCCAAAGATTGAAAGTATCAAACTAGTCTACGAGTGTATATATATATATATATATATATATATATATATATATATATATATATATATATATATATATATATATATATATATATATATGAAAAAAATTAGCAAGGTCGAGTCGGTCGGGTTAACTCAACTAACTCGACAGAAATTGACGAGTTAACTCGGCGTAATCGGACGAGTTAGGCACTAGGCGGCTGAATTAGGCGCTAGGCGGGCGCCTAGGCGGCCGGTCTCCTAGGCGGGAGCCTAGGGGGGAAAAAGTCACGGCCTATGGGCGCCTAGCGCCTAGGCGCCGATTACTCGGTGCCTAGGCGGGATTTTTACAACCCTGCTCCACCCCTCTATACAATATGTTATATTGTTCTTCTTCATTTTGTCCAGTTATCCAACAAGCTAAACAATAAAATTCAAAGAACAAATAAACACACAAATACAATGTCAAAGTGGCATAGTAGCTCTAAAGTGAATCTAAACTCAATAATATTAATCTGTATAAAAAAAAATTAAAAATACCGTTTATGTTTTTAAAGCTTCGAGGAAGATTAAAACAACAGTCAGCAGGCAAGCAAGGAGATTTGAGGATTAAATAGTAGGATTAAACAGCAAAGTAGCAGACCGTAGGATTTACAGAGGCCGGAGGCGTTGGCTGGGTAGTGGGCTGGTGGCGGTCGGCGTTGGCTGGGGTGGTGGCTACGGTGGTCGGCGTTGGCTGGGGTGGTGGCTACGGCGATCGACGTTGGCTGTGGTGATGGCTACGACTGTCGACATTGGCTAGGGGTGCGTTGGTTGGGCAGGTGGCTACGGCGAATGGCGAACAGCGTTGGCTGGGTAGGTAGCTACGGCGCTCGCCGTTGGCTGGGAGCCTGGGAGGTGTGAGCGACTGAGCGGAGAAGACGGGATGACTGAGGAGCGATTGAGTGAGAAGATCTGAAGTGAAAAACCGTAGTCCCTAAATGAAAGTGTGTGTGTGTGTGTGTGAATATTATTAAATGAACACAAACGAGCTTGTTCACGATCTCTTAGCAAATGAACTTACAGCCGTTCAAGCTCTGTTTGTTTATTAACCGAGCTCTAAATTTTGTTTGTTAATGTCCATTTACCTTAACAAACGAACATAAACGAATGCTTACCGAACACAAACACGAGTAGTTTGTCGAAAACTCTGTTCGCTAACACCTCTAAATAAAACTAATTAGATAAAATCTGTTTTTTTTTTTTTTTTTTTTTTTTTGCAAAATAGCACCAGTAACCCAATTACACATGAGACACTACCAAAAAAAAAAAAAAAAAAAAAAAAAAAAAAAAAAAAAGCGGACTAACAATGGAGACGAAGACAATGACAAACCTATCCAAATCGGAATTAACAAAACTTAGAGTAATTCGAACAAAAAGGTAGTATATACTACCTAATACCATACCAACTATACAAATAAGTATTTAGATAATAATTTGGGAGAAGTATTTAGATAATAGTTGAACAAAATTAAAGTGCAAATTAAACATTAATTTTAATGCCAACTATATATAATGAAATTCTCATATATAATCTAGCATAGATATATTTTGAATTACTTATTTAAATACAAATATTTGACATTAAATTAGTCACGCAATGCGTGTGCAAAACTATTAACTTAAAATATAACTCAACTAAACATGTTAATATAACATCTTCACAACCCCAACTAAACATGGTAATTTTACATTCTCATAATCTTACATTACCTCTAGCACTAAACACACCTTAAAATTAGTTATGCCTGGCTATTCTAATCAACATAAGAGTAACAGTTACCCCTATAAAAAGAAGCTAGCCCCAGCACTCTTTTAGTGCGCAAGAATTGGACTAGCTTATCGTAGCAGCCATGAGAGCAATTCCGTGTTGCATTCTTTCACTCATTTTTACTCTGTTTCTTATTAGACCCACGTATTCCATCAAAAAGGTAAATATTCATGCAAGTACTTTCATGAAGGCCTTTTAGATGATAATGCTGCTAATGCTATGATTTATGTTTGACATTAATTTTGATGTGGAAATAGTCATATGTGGTGTACTTGGGTGGTCATTCACATGGAAAACAAGTCTCTTCTGTTGATCTTGATAGAGTTAAACATTCTCATCATCAGCTCCTTGGAACATATCTTGGAAGGTATATAATATTATAGCTAGAAGCAGTTTCTTTTTAGTTTTGGTTGCTTTTGTATGCTCTCCGATCCCTCAATGTTCTGATTCTTTGGTTCAATGTGTTGTTGCATAATCTAAAGTTCAGATAAGGCGAGAGATGCAATCTTTTACTCATACACCAGACACATCAATGGGTTTGCTGCTATGCTTGAGGAAGAAGAGGCTGCTGAGATTGCCAGTAAGCATTATTAATCTATAATCATTTTGGGTTTTCAAAGGGTTTTGGGATTTAAGTGCGGGCATCAAATATGGTAATGTGCAGAGAATCCGGAGGTGATATCAGTGTTCTTGAACAAGGCAAGACAATTGCAGACAACCAGATCTTGGGAGTTTCTTGGATTGGAAGGTGAAGGTGGCTTAATCCAGGAGGGTTCAATATGGAAAAAGGCCAGGTTTGGAGAAGATATCATCATTGCTAATCTTGATACCAGTATGTATCTTCAACTCTCTCTGCTATCCATTATGTCTGCAGCATAGCTTTTGTTTCTCAGATCAGAATTGAATTTCAATTATATCCATTGCCCAATAATGATGTTTTGTGTGGTGTGTTGGAGCTGCAGGAGTATGGCCTGAATCAAAAAGCTTTAGTGAGGAAGGATTCGGACCAATTCCCAAAAGGTGGAAAGGGATTTGCCAGAATCAGAAAGATAAAAGCTTTCACTGCAACAGGTCTTTAATTTGTTGGTGTTTTCCTTATCTGAAATTTAGATAAAAATTTTAGTTCTGAACTTGCTTTGTTTATTGATTTGGATAACAAAGGAAACTCATTGGAGCTAGATACTTGAACAAAGGGTATTCTTTTGGTGTTGGCACTCTTAATTCCAGTTCCTTCTTCACCCCACGAGATGTTGATGGTCATGGGTCCCATACCTTATCAACAGCGGGTGGTAATTTTGTTCCTGGGGCAAATGTTTTCGGTTTGGGCAATGGAACAGCAAAGGGTGGCTCGCCCAAAGCTCGGGTAGCTGCTTATAAGGTTTGCTGGCCTCCCACCTCCCCAGGTGAAGCTTGCACTGATGCAGATATCCTGGCTGGTTTTGATCGGGCGATTGAGGATGGTGTTGATGTGCTGTCAGTATCGATTGTAGGAGACCCCCTTCGGCCATATTTTGAAAACAGTATAGCCATTGGTTCCTTTCATGCTGTAAAGAATGGTATAGTTGTGGTTGCCTCAGCTGGTAATGAAGGACCTGTTGCCGGTTCTGTCACTAATGTTGCACCCTGGCTCATCACTGTTGGGGCAAACACTATGGACAGACGGTTTCAGAGTAATGTAGTGTTGGGAAACAACAAACACTACACAGTTAGTTTCCATTCTTTGCTTCAATTCTTCTTTGCATTATACATAAAACAGACCTTATTAATATATGTGTGTGTTTGTAGGGCGAAAGTGCAGTGCCGCTAAAACTTCCAACTGGGAAATTCTATCCACTTCTTTCTGCTGCATCCGCTAGAATTAAGATTAATGCATCCATTTCAACCCAAGATGCGTAAGGATAAATTAAAACTCCATCTATTATCTATATAATTAATATCATACAAACTGCTATATATAACTCGTGCAGTCTGCATTGTAAGCCTGGAACTCTGGACCCAGAAAAGGTAAAGGGAAAAGTTTTGGTTTGCCTACGAGGCGTAACAGCCAGAACTGATAAGAGCCACGAAGCTGCTTTGGCGGGTGCTGTGGGAATGATTCTTGCCAACGATGAGGATTCTGGGAATGATATTGAGGCTGAAGCACAGTTTCTCCCAGCTACACATCTCACCTACTCAGATGGACTTGCAATCTTTGATTACATTAATAAAACCAGGTACGCGCGTAAGAATCTAACATATATAATCAGATTCTGATCTGTTACATACATAATATAATAATAATGCATGACAAGTAGGAATCCTGTGGCTCACATTACTCATCCAAATACACTATTGGGAGTGAAGCCAGCTCCAGTAATAGCAGCTTTCTCATCAAGAGGTCCTAACGCCATTAATCCAGATATTCTCAAGGTTTGTGTAATTGTGATAAGCCATTCTGTGATGTTTTTATATACTTTTTAAATATATTTTATGTATGTATGTATGTATTCCAGCCTGATATATCTGCGCCTGGAGTGAATGTGATAGCTGCCTTCACAGAAGCCACAGGGCCATCTGATGAAGATTATGATAAGAGAATTGTTTCATTCAACTTACTATCAGGCACTTCAATGTCATGCCCTCATGTAGCTGGTGTTGTTGGCCTTCTCAAAACGCTCTATCCTTCATGGAGCCCTGCAGCAATCAGATCTGCTATTATGACCACCGGTATGTATGTATGTATGTATGTATGTATGTATGTATTTCATGATTTCAAGATGTACTTATATATATGCACTAACATGCGTATTACCTTTCACAGCCACAGTAAGAGCCAACTCAGGGAAGGCCATAACTGACGATGAGCTATTTTCTTTATAAGGGGAATAGCTATTACCGTCCCTCTTGATAATAAGTCATTCTTGAGTTCTCAATAGTAGCTTATATATTTTAATTTCTATTTGACCCTTATTTAACCTAAAAAAAAAAAAAAAAAAAAATTAGCCTATCTTTTTCTCAATCTTCTCCCCTCTCCCGCCATTTGCACCTAAAGATCATCTGCTATTTATACCACTCCATAGGTGAATCTGAATTTATCTAAAGATTTATTCTCATTTTAATGAACTTGACAAATTTTTATACAATACGAAATCAAACACGAATATAACATGTAAGTGTTTAACAATAACATTTCTCGGTTTATTAACAGATTGAACTGCTAAGAACCCAAAAATTTTGTGTCTTAATGGATAAAAAAGACTTTGCAAATAGTATTGTTGTCATCAGCTTAACATCACAAATCATTATGCCAATATATATACCTTTCATGATATGATGAATTTAGAAAATGCCTTGAGATTTTCGAAGGATTTAAATAAAAGGTGAAAAATAGGTATTTCATTAACTATGCAAGGGTGTGATGAAGTCAACTAGGCTGCAGAATGTGTGATTTGGTCTTGTTGCGTGCTGACCCCAAGCTAGCCTGAAAAGCACAAGAGTTGCATTGAATGACTCACTCCCAATTGACAAGGGACTCAACAGATTAAGCTTAATATCTCTCGCAGTCGTAGCGTCAGCTGAAGCAGCAGCAGCTCCAGTAAGAGCATCAAAACAGGTCTCGTGGTTCCTCACCACGCTGCGTAATAAATTCGTCATGCCTTGCGCTTCTGACGGATTCTCCACATTGTCTCTGCACTTAATCACTTCAAAGGTGCGAAACAACAGCTTCTTGTTCTCCCGGATGAGATCTTCGCAGGATTCCAGGGCGTAAAGCATTCGGTTCTCGAGTGGCACACAACTCGACGAGTCCCAAAGTCTATAGAAAGCGCGGTCGACGAAGGGGTAGAACACGTGCTGTATGATGAAAAGCGAATACTCAAATGATTTCCGGGCGACGTCGTGGAAGGTGCAGCCGTCCATTGGCTCTACGGCGCAGAACGCCGGGCTTGGAGTGGCGTTGCATATGGACTCCAGCGAGGTCAAGGCTTTGGGGGTGAATAATGCATTATTCGCCGGAATCAAGAGAAAGAAAGCAGTGATAATGCAGGCTATAGAAATTTCATTCATTTTTTTTTTTTTTTTTTTTTTTTTTTTTGCCGCAGCACACTTTTGAATTGAATAGGGCAATGCATTTTTTTCTTATCTTAATTTATACATGTGATTGGTGTGGGTTTAGTTTGGCTAATTTCTTTGTTGACCAAGGGACATTTTTAATATCTTAAAAAAATATTATTTGTGTGCTGAATATACATTATGGAGTATTATTTTATAGTATATAAAATAATATATTTTTAATATTTAAATAATATATTTTTAGTATATTCAAAAGGGAAAAGGTACAAACAGACCATTGAACTATTTTGGGGATAGCAATTAAGCCATCGAACTCGAATAAGCTTCAAATTCATCCATGAACCTGAAAAAAAAATGCAATTGGCATTTTTAGCAAGTTAACAACAGGATTGGATTGCCATGTGTATATTTTATTATTTTATTATCCTATTATGAATTTGACACTCTTCATGATGTCATGTTTTCCTAATTTTATTTCCTAACCCTGTCGGGTATTGTATTTAAAAATAATTTTTTAAATTTATTTTAATAATTTTAAATAAAATAATTATTTTGAAATAAAGTAAAATAATTATTTTGATGGGCCGGCCATGGAGCCTTCGTCTCCGGCAAGTCTGTTTTTTTTTTTTAAATCAAAATAATTATTTTATTTATTTATTTTAAAAAAAATAATTATTTTATTTGAAATTATTAAAATAAATTTAAAAAATTATTTTTAAAGATAATAAAAATAATAAAATATACACATGCCAATCCAAACTTGTTGTTAACCTGCTAAAAATGCTAATTGCATTTTTTATTTTCAAGTTCATGGATTAATTTGGAGCTTATTTGAGTTCGGTGGCTTAATTGCTATCTCCCAAATAGTTCAATGGCCTATTTATACATTTTCCTTATTAAAAATACACTTTTTATTTGTGGCCTACACAACTATGTAAATCATGATCAATAATGATTGACTTTAGTTTAAAAAGTATAAAATATATTAATATAGGGGTTGACTTTTATGTGGAAATTAATATATTACCATTATAAATTACGATGTGCATATATGCATCTATAATTTTATATAGTTGTTGACTTTTGGACAGAGGTTACCATTCATTGCCAGCTTTGGTATGGTACTAAAGATTATTTAAAGCAATAATATATATATATATATATATATATATATATATATATATATATATATATATATATATATATATATATATATATATAGAATCGCACTCAGGTGCGAATACTTCGCCCAGGTGCGAAATAGGAATGGATTCTGTCCGTCCACGTGTCCAAATCTAATGGATGAGAAACACTGATTTTTTAAAAAAACGCGGTGGCATTTTCGTAAATAATTGAATATCGAAGTGCAAGTAAAATGTATTACAAGTGCATGTAAAATGTATTATCGGTGCAAGTAAAAATTTACACTGAGCATCAATACTGAGTTGCACCTATCGTTATAAGTAGTTGCACCTATAGTTCTAAGTAGCTGCACACATAGTTATAAGTAGTTGCACCTAGGTGTATGAATGTTTGCGAGTGGTTTTCAGGGGTATTACTATCCGCAGAACTCAGATCAATGAATGTTAACAAGGCAAAATTACATGCACTTATAGGTGAAAGTAGGTGCACCTATAGTTATAAGTAGTTGCACCTATAGTTATAAATGGTTGCACATATAGTTATAAGCACACCCATGTGCATGAATGTTTGCGGAAAGTGAATGCTAACAAGGCAAAATTACATGCACTTATAGGTGAAAGTAGGTGCACCTATAGTTATAAGTAGTTGCACCTATAGTTATAAATAGTTGCACATATAGTTATAAGCACACCCAGGTGCATGAATGATTGCGGAAAGTGAATGCTAACAAGGCAAAATTACATCCACTTATAGGTGAAAGTAGGTGCACTTGTAAGTGATTTTACTTGCACTTCGATGTTCAATTTTTTACGAAAATGCCACCGCGTTTTTTTTTTTAAGTTATTAGATCTGGACACGTGTCGCGCGCTGATTCGTTCGCATTTCCCTCCTGAGCACTTATTCGCACCTGAGTGCATCCCTATATATATATATATATATATATATATATATATATATATATATATATATATATATATATATATATATATATATATATATACACATACTAATAAGAGTCCAAGAGAGTTAAGCCTATAATGGGTAGAAAAAATGGCGGTCAAATTTTTAAATCAAATGAATGGCTCAGATTGATCGGATTTTAATTTTTCCTTGAGATTTCCTAATTTATCCTTAATGAATATGATTATCCGTTAACTATTATCTTTTCCGTTAATTTCTGTTAGTTCACCGTTAACTTACTCATTGATTTCAATAAGAAAGATCTTAGGTTCAAACCCCATCTCAATCAAAATTGGCATAATTAGTACTATATTTTACTCTTATTAAATTAAATAATAATTTAGTACCTACAACAAAAAATACGGAGTAATATATATGCATTTCATTAATTTAGAATTATGTGTCTACGTACAATGCCTTTATTCAAAAAAAATAAAAAATTATTCATTATCAATAAATTAAATAAGAGAAATAATTTCATTAGTTATATTGTCTTTATTTTTCTCCAATATAAAAGTTCTTTACATGCAAAATTCAAATTCATTAATTGATTATATTCGCTACATTGTCCCTACAATGTCTTTATTAAAAAAAAAAAGGAAAATGGTCAAATAGACCCTTAAACTATAGGTAAAAGAGCAATTAGGCCCTTCAACTTTGAAAAGGTGCAATTAGGCCCTTCAACTTGTTGTTTTGAGTCAAATAAACCCAATAGCAGGCTTTTCACCTGGAATAACCGGTCAAAAAATTCCGGCGATATTTCCGGCGACAACAAATTAAAAAAAAAAAAAAAAAAACAACTTGCCGGAGAAGACAACCGTCGGTTGTCTTCTCCGGTGGAGAAGGCGACCAGATCAGGTCGCCTTCTCCATTGGAGAGGACGACCAGTCTGGTCGTCCTCTCCAGTGGAGAAGGCGGCCAGATCTGGTCGTCCTCTCCACTCCTTTCCAAGGGAGAGGACTGTGGAGAGGACGACCAGATCTGGCCGCCCTCTCAAGTGGAGAAGGCGACCTGATCTGGTCGCCTTCTCCACCGGAGAAGACAACCGAACGGTTGTCTTCTCCGGCAAGTTTTTTTTTTTTTTTTTTTTTTTTTTTTTTTTGTTGTCGCCGGAAACAAGGTCGGGAATTTCGCCGGAATTTTTTAACCGGTTATTCCAGGTGAAAAACCTGCTATTGGGTTTATTTGACTCAAAATAACAAGTTGAAGGGCCTAATTGCACCTTGTCAAAGTTGAAGGGCCTAATTGCTCTTTTGCCTATAGTTTAAGGGTCTATTTGACCATTTTCCCCAAAAAAAACTATTCTTTATCAATAAATTAATTAAAAGAAATAATTTCATTAATTATATTGTCTTTATTTTTCTCCAATGTAAAAATTCTTTACATTCAAATTCATCAATTGATTATATTCACTACATTATCTATTATCTTTTTTTGTGCACTATTTTTTAATTAAATATCAAAGTTATAATACAAAATACTGTTATATATTTATTTACCAAGTATGTTATTAATAGCATGAAAAAATTTAAATTAATAAAGCCAATCATATTAACTACTTGAGAAAATTGTTGACAAAGAGAGTATTCAAATCACACAACAAATTGAAATGAGAAACTAACACGCAATGTCCTTGTTTGACAAACACCAGTTAGCGGTTAGCGTTAGCGGATTACATTTGCGGATTTGACCAGCGAATTATATCA